CAGAAGAAAGTGAATCCGTACACGACGACCGTGGGCAAGGACGCCTTAAGATGACGTCACATATACACCAACAGAAATTCAAATGTTATTTTTTATTATTACTACTTTTAAACGTTCGCCTACGCCTAACCAAAAGTCGTGAAAATCTCTTAAAGTCTTTTACCAGATTTATAATAGATGATAACATCACATTAGTTAAGTTTTGTTAATATAATAACTGTATAAAAGCAATTTAAAGCATCTGCAATAAAAACTGTATACAGGAAAAGCGAAGGAAAAATTCATAGTAACTTAATATTATTGAAAGTAATTTATATTAAACTCAAATGTAGAAAATAAACGGTTTATATTCTTGAACTATAAAGCAGAGCATTTATGTAAAATTCAAGTTTTTAATTTCTATGGTTTTTAATAAGAATGAGTTGCAAATAAGTTAATATATCACATAAAATTGTTCTTATAACAAAATAGTTTTATCAAAAATTCAAATTCATGGTAAATTGTTTACTGAAATTTTTATTATTTAAAATAACTAATGTAGATTTGCAAACATAATCAACAATTTAACATTTTTATATAAAAATCTTATTCTTTTTATATTTTAATTGTAATTTTACGAACATTCATCTTTCTTTATCATTGTATAAAGAGGCTACATTTACGGATAGCATGCATATGCGTACCCGTGTTATTAATTTGGTTCTAAAATACAGTCTTCTGACCTCAGCATTTCAAGATCTAAAAAGAAAGAAGAAATAGACCCAATATTCTATCTTACCGTACTACATATTTATGCGTACTAAAAAAAAAAATAAAATGACCTCTCTGATTGTGTAATGTAGTATTTTATATAAACATAAACAATGAATGATATTTGTTCTAATTTTATGAGTTTTTAGCCCAGAAAGAATTATTTAATTCAAAAAGAACGTTATAGTTTCTTTTAGAAGCATAATTCTTATAATTTACATTTTACTATTTTGTCGCTAACCGGTTGTTGAGTGAAACGTTTTGAGATAGATTTTATAACTATGAGGTTGAAAGATATTAAAAAGTTTGAATTTTTGAATATAAACTCATAAAAAAAGAGTTAGAATTAACAAAATCATTCAAATATTAGTTTGATTATCTCTGTTTAACAATATTTAAAGATCATTAATACTACTAACTTTTTCATTTCTTATGACATCAATAAATATGTAAGAGTATACTGGCTGACTGATTCATGAGATTGAATATAAAACATATAAAAAAGAGAGTGGTTTAACTATTGCTACATGAATTATTATTTATTATTCTGAATGAACATCGCTGTATATGAAATGAACTTGAAGAAATAACGAATTCAATTAGGTGTCAAATTATTTCTTATACGAATATTCGTGACCTCGAGAGATTGAACTGCCCAGGAAAAGTATGTACATCTATCATAAATTGGATTCAGTTGATAAGGTGAACAGTGAAATCTTACTCAAAATTAGAAATAAATATAACGATAAAAAATGTTCTTATTCAACAACAATTCTTATACCCTTCGGTTTTTATAAATTAATATGATAATCATCTAAGTATTTTAATGATCTATAAAAATCAAATAATTGCAACGTTTATTAATAATGTTAACTAATCTTAATAAACAGTTTCAATTGTACCTTCAATCATTTTCTCGTGAGTAAAATTTTACAAATATTACATAGAATTTCTTTTTCTTTATACGATTGTTTTACTATCATTGCTCACATTATTACTTATGAAATAAAAATATAATATCTAAGACAATATTAACTTTACTGAAACAGTTGAAAATATCACCTTCAAACGTCATTTTTATTTTAGTATAATACCAAACTTCACTTTTATAGATTCAACTCTTTTACCGTTTTGTAGAAACATTATATTTACATTCTTATATATAGTAATACCCAATAAATGTGAGACTAAGATGCTAATTTTAAAAAGAAGAAAAGTCTTTAGATATTTGTTGTGGTCATTTAAGAATTTAAGCTTGAGGTATATCTGAGATTATATTTATTTTAAAGAAATTCTAGTTGAGTAATTATGGGACGAATGAACTCCCCTTGCTTTTATGACCTTGTAATACAACCCTAAAATACTTTTGTCGAGAACGTAATGTTGTTGTAATAGTATGAACATATAAAGAACAAAGACCCGTCTTAAACTTGTATTCGAAAATATATAAGAACACAATCACTTGGCTGTGTTAGCTGCCCTTTTCAAACAATAATCTATAGTTAATTAGTTCTGGAATTTTTTCTGGTTACCGACAATAATGTTTTGGATTTGTTACCTAATACACTAAATACATTGACAAAAAGAGTTCGAGTAACTTATAAGCTTAAAGAACTAATTTATTAAGTGTAACAAAATACGTAAAATTATAAATAAATTAACATTAAATTATCTAACATAAAAATTAATCCTATCAACTTATACAGGTACAATAAATAAAAAATATAAATATATATATTGACGTTCTAATAACAGCACAGTCTTTTGTTATACAGCGATGATCGTGTGGTTGACATTTTCAATTCACCTTCTATCATCAATCCTAAAAGAATAGTATTTCAAGTTTTAATAAGTCATTCATCAATTAAATAAATAAATTTAAGTATTATGCTATCAATATTTATATGCAGATGTCNTTAAATAAATTTAAGTATTATGCTATCAATATCTGTCTTCTATATGCAGGTGTCCCACCGTGATTTACTAAATTTAACATTAGTTAATGTAGTCAAATTATTAAATCACGGTGGGACACCTGTATAGTTTTATTATTATTTAAAATTAAAACTATATAAAAAATATTATCAATTTAAAACTAAAAAATATTAAACTCTAAAAGCCACAAAAAAATACTGAAAAACCGTGGATATGTATTTCGAAAAAAATATTACTATTATTAACACTAAACACATATTGACACCCCGACCGGAAAAAACTCCCTTATATACCCCTAGTGATCTTATTATCTAGAGACGTTATCACTAAGTAATATTATGACATTTGCTAGTTTACACAAGTTTAATAATGAATTTTTCAGTAAGCCAAGATCCCAATTAATTAAATTGTACTTATTTTTAAACATTTCTATTGCCTCCCGTATATTAAGTTCTTTGTATTTATTTACATTTAAAGTTAGTTTTATGGTTTTAATTGTGTGATATGTGTCAACAAATGTCCAGCCACCGGTAATTTATCAACTTCTTAATTTTTAATATCTCTTAAGTGCTTTTTAAACTTGACCCCTATACTTCTTTTTATTTATCCTACGTAACATTTATGACAACTTTTCCATTGTATTTTATAAATGTCTGATTTTCCCCTTCTTCTACTTTATCTTTAGAGTTACCTAATAAATCTCTTAAATTATTACTCTTAGGTGTTACTATATAACAAAATTCTTAAAAATTCTAGCCTGAGATGCCTGGATAATATAAAATGGACGATCTAATTACTTTTTGCTCGCCCACGCTAGAGAGTGTACTAGATGATTCCTTTCTTTATTCCACTTTTGTGTTCGGACTAATTTTGAAATTGCGTTTTCGTTATACTCATTAAATCTAGCTATTTTCTTATAACCCTTAATTCTTCATCAAAATCTATTTTATTCATCGGAATATTAACTAATCTTATTTATTATTTAATAAGGT